ATGGTTAAAACCACCCACTCTCTCTCTCTCTCTCTCGAACGGAGATCGGGAATAATGTACGACGAGCGTTCTCCGGCTTTAAGCTCGCTTGATCCCAGTGGGAGGAAAGCGGCAGTGCAATAATTAGAAGTGCATCACTGAACGGCGCGTACACGTATGTGTGTACGTGTGCGTTAATCTCTGCTTGTCATTAGCACATGAGTCGTCGACCGATGATGCGATTAATTATGACGCTAGAGAGTCCTACAATTAATCCCTCGAATCCCGCTGCTTGAATGCGTCCCTGCGCAATGCGTTATTCGTGTGCGACAGAGAAAGAACATTTTCGCGTTTACGACGCTTCCGCGACACGCTGTGATCGATTGTGACGTATAGCGTTCATTAAAGTGCGAGAAAAAGAACGGTACTGTCTCTCTTTTCAGTTTGACTTCGTCTACTTCAAACCGTTTTCGACCTCGCATTCCGAGCGTGCCTATCGTCTACGATCTCTACTCTAATGCTCTATGTGAGCGCTAAACGCGAGCTGCGCTATGTGATTAATTAATTCCACACTTGTGACGTATTCGATCCTTTAAAGTGATAAGCCTTTGTTACTAATTAATTAGCAAACCGAGCTAAACGCAATTAACCACCATGATACGTTAAAATTTCTGCATAAACATGCGATGCAATAGCGGAGAATCGATGGACTATAAACGCGAAACGAAAACTTGCTCTCACCTTGCGTTTGTTATTTCTACAAATGAATGTAGCGTGCCTGTATTTTATATCAATATCGTGGAAAATGGAATGTTCCCGAGCTCCGCGACGCAGAAAATATACGGCACATCGGACGATCACGATCGCGCGTTTGTCTCGCCAAGATAAATAAAAATAAGACTCACCTACGCTGCCACCCACGAAGACCGCGCTCTTCTCTCCCCGTGCACGTAGTAGCACTAACTGTGAACTGGAGAATCGCCGCTCACTGATCACTTGTCAAACACGCTGCCTCCCCACGCGGAGCCTTCACAACACTCGTGTTAATCGCGCCCTTTGTCATCTCAGACGCGAGAGCAGTTCTCTCCGCCCGGCAAACGATCTATCGTTGGAATTTCGTCGAATTCAACGAGATTCCCCCTGGCGATTCTACTCGCGCGGAAAATTCGCGCGATTGATCCGGAAACTCTCCGTGCACAGCGGTATGCTACGATCGCGCCGAGAGAACGGGAGCGAAAGGGAGAGAGAGACTAGTCGCGCGCGCGGCAAAGGCGCGTGCGGTCCGGACACGGAACGTGAGTGCCGCTTGGTAGAAGCGACTGAACCGCCAGGCCGGCGGAGCGCGCAGGTCCTACAGAACGTCCCACGTCGAGGCTCCGGTGGCAGAGCCACGGACAGGTACTCGTCGGTCGGCGAGGGAAAATACTGCCGCCGTGCAACCCCCGAAATGTCGCCAAGAATTCGCCGCTTAATACGTTCGCTCTGAACAGAGGAGGTCAGGCTTACAAATAAGGGCCGAAAATGCGGGAACACGACCGGAGTCGGATGGATGGATGAAAATATTTCAACGTGTTCTGGAAATGAAATTTCTCCGAGAATTACTTTAATCCCTCCGGTACTAAAAATATACCGCGGTACACGATATTATAAGGGAGAGAATATTTATTTAGGATTCTCTCTTGCTCTGCATCATATTTTATGCAATATAATGAGATGCGATTAAGAGGCAAAATTATTTTATTAGAACTTTGCTGCGGTCTCTGTAGCGGCTCTGATATTTGTCGAACGCTTAATAAAGTTAACACGAAATCAGTCGAAAGCAAAAAAAGGTACTGAAATAGAAAAACTATGTTAATAATATGTGAGGAATTTGATGGGAGTATGAAACGGTATGTAAAAGAGCAGTAGAATCACGACGAAATTTAGTGAATTACGGATTAATTGGTGAATGGAAAGAATTTAATTTTACGTAATCAATTTGCAACGATAATTGCGATGAAAATGGTAACGGATTAAGCTTCGCTTCGAGTAACAACTTATAAAGCAAGTTCCACGTTGCCGCGGTATTTCCGAGGTCTATAGAATTTCGATTTAATTAATTAGTGCAACAATTCGGTGACAGATGTTACGGTTGACGATCGATGTAATAACGAGTATCACGCGATGTGCACAAGTCCGGCGCACATTTCACGAAACTCACCCTAATACTTCTATCTCTTCGCCGGGACCTTCGAGTGCCGAAAGCGGTTTCTATAAAATATTGCAGGTAACGCTGCCATTTTTCTGGACATCCAATTATATCCGGCACGCATTCACGGCAAAATTCTCGTGCTCTCCGTGATTATCGCATTTCTACGAATGTTCTGAAAAGGCTCTTCGCAATTAGTCAGTCGATCGATATCACGACTGCCGTCCATTTGCAAAGACGCGAAAACAAATTCGCACCATCACGTTCCGAAAGAGAAAAAATATGTTATTCGCTAATTTATTGTAAATATAACACTCGTATAATGTATTCACAGTACACGTGCTGCGAATCACACGATAAAGATACTATTTATTCAGCGAGATAATATCGCCACGACGTAGATATTTGAACACCGAATGCGCGATGTTTACGAAACTGCTGCTCCGTCGCATAAATCTCGCATAAATGAATTAGCCATTTTGAATTGCTGTTCATTCGCGCGTGTATCCTTTCCTGTAAAATTCGAGGAGCTTATTACTAGCTAATACTACTTCGCTCCTTATTTATGGCCGGACAAGGGCGCACGCCGCGTCGGTGTAATACGTGTGGCATGCGAATATCGAGTTGCGCGATTCACCATGCATAATATTAGCACGATATTATAGTTCCGTCGTGGATTACGGGAGGGGCCGAGCCGAATACCTAATAAGGGTTTTACGACTGTCTAGGAAATCCGTGATTAGGTTCTCAACTATGCGAGCCGAGTCGTAACGTAACCATCACTTGCGCGCGTTTGAGCATTCGTAGCTCATCGACATGCCGGCGGGCTCTCTGTTCCGATATATTGATCCGCAACGGAGATGAAGCTTCTGACGTATTATCAGTAGGACGTATTCAACTAAAGATATAAATAAATGTCTAATTTTCGCTGAGGAAAAATTGATGTCAATAAATCTGTTCTTAGAATGCGATACGTGCCCTTTGGAACACCCTATATATGTCCGCTCGAAGCACGCGCTTTTATCGCAAGCATACCTGACTGCTAAATTAAAAGTTAATCGACTCGGAAGTAAATTTCGTTAAATCGCGTCGCTGGCGGATTTCTTTTGTGGCAAGAGCAGAGACGAGCTTGCAAGAATTGTAAAGCTTTTATTCCCGTAATTTGTTCATGGCACACGCGTACCGTTCGCATTTAGATTCCGTGCCAGAGTTCACTTTGCGAGTCTCATTCCGCGTTCTTTACTCCCGTCGAAAGTAAAATAAGGAGCGGAACTTGTAGCATTCGCGACGACGAAATCATCGTTTCTTTCATCCGTTTTATTTCACGCTGATTCTTCGCACAAAGATGTTCAATTTATTGATTAAGTAAGTCAACTGTCGACGTATCTGCAATTGAAAAATTCAGACTGCTTTAATATAACTTAATTGATAATTATTTTAATGTTTTAACTGATGCTAAAATAATTCAAAGTTGAAATGTCAAAAGTCACGTCAAATATATTCAAATTGAAGTAAGGAGTTATTAATTATGTGGTATAATAAAAATATAAAGCTTCTGCATTTTTCCAAACCTTTATTTTTACATTTATACCGACCACAACTATTTTTAAAATGTATAAAAACTGTGTAACTCTTTGGAGTCATTAAGCTCTGTCAATTATATCGAAATTCTAAAAATAAGGTGCTAAAGTCGCAAAATTGGTTTGAAAAAAAAAATCCAGATAACCAACATGAGAGATTTTTGTTAGGTCACGGAATATGAGCGGAAAAATTTTGCCGATCGCGAACGATACGCCATAAAAGCGTGGCCCATATGAAAATCCCAATAATACCCGTCGTCCGCCTGGTAATTGGGCAACGGAGCATTTCGCGCGGAAATTGCCTAGAAATTGTAGAGAATACGGCGTGATCTTACGGTCCGTCGGTTACGTTTGCGCGGGAGCTGTTTCACCCGCGGCTTATTATTGGATTTTCGTCAAGTTCGAATATTCATTTAATAAGATTATTCCGGAGCGAGCGCCGCCAAGTCGGTTCTTTGTTCCGCGGTTTTCCGGCGGTGACAGTGTCGGGAGTCGCATTTATCGATTCGCGTGCGCGCGTTTACGTTTTTTTTTTCTCGCGTATGATTTATTAATGCGCGTACCACGAGGCGTTTTGCGTGATACTTCGTCTCAATTAATGTCACCCACTCTCTCAGTTGGCGGCTTTAAAAATGATTGAGATGGGCAGCCGCTTAGGCTGCCAAAAAATAAAGCGTTCAGCTCGGCTTAATTGCAATTTGAACACTTTTATAAAATATCATTATTTTCTTAATTTAATTTTCAGTGTGTCTAATTTTTTTGCAATTTAAGCTTTTTCATTTAAAAGTCGAGTGTAAAAAGAAAGAGTCACGAATAAAAATACGCGTGTTGCGCATGATAGTAGAGAAACGTATGCGCGAGTAATAAAATTAAGATCTTTACGGAAAGAGGACGATCATTATCGTAGCGTCAGAGCACGTCACGGCGCTCTAATGATTTTATGTACATCGCCGACTCACGAGTCTTGCTTCACGCGTCGTAATTAAAATGTAACGATCTCCCGCTGTGCACATCGGCACCTGACTGCACGTATCGTGAGCCGTCGCAAATTACGACTGCTGTCGATACTGTCATCTGCTTTAGTTTCCGAAACGATGAAAGAAACTCATCTGAGAGAGCGACGTTGCAATTATGTGATAATCTGCTTCAGTTGCATGTGAACTTTTTATAACATAATCTATGCGAATATTTTTACAATCGCACTTTTTATAAATTGAATGCTAGAAATAATTTCTTATTTTTGTCTTTTTTAGACGATTCCAAAATATAACATCGTCAAATGATCAGAAGCCAAAGAATGATGGGAAATCGATATCTCTGAAGTAAGTCGAATTATTTTATTAATTAAATAAAGTAAATTTTAGCCTGTTTTTTTTAGAATTTAATTTTTGATATGTTTATTGCTAAGTAATTGATTTTTGAAAATAAGTTCAGAGAAACCTGCGATTTGGACAAAATTATAAACTGTCATGATATAAATTATGCATTAATTTGAAAGAAATGGTCAAACAATGGTCGATAATTCGATGAGAATGTGTAAATATTTCGCGAATAATAGTGCGCACGAAGTGGTTTATTTATGACTGTTACATCAATACTTCATCATTCTACGAAAATATACTTGTTTTTAAGAATTTTTAGACAATTCACGTACAAAGAAAGATTCAATTAATCCAATCAACTTGTTTTTGGCAAATAAATCCGATACGATAATCAAGAATTGATCGTATAAATTTGTCTCTAACTTTCGCGAAATCGTCGCCGCACACTCTCGTCCAAAGTGGAATGTCGCGGTGTCGGGAAATTAATTTTCGATAACAACAATTTGGCTACGCAAAAGCGTCACGATAAATAATTGCGCGCGCGCAGGCGTGATTATATATATATATATATTTGTACTATACATGTGTACATTGTTTAATCAGCGGTTATTGTGTCGCCCGGTGATATCGGTCCCCGCGATGTTACACGCGCATTACACGCTGCAGACCAATCGCGCATCGCGTAAAACGACGTGCACCGTCGATCGTATGTAATCCACAAACGTACAGTGATCCGGTTAATTCCAACCATATACATTTGTTCTCGCAGTTAATCGAGATAATTCGAACGCTTAATAAAAAATTATGGGTACGCGCACTTTGTGCCCTGTCAAAGTAGGGAACGAGTCAAGATTAATGTCACGATAAATGTCACGATACGCGTACGCAATGTACACGGCAGTTAATTAATTTACAGCTAACGCAAGATCGCGCGGTGGATAATGGGGACCCCGCAGGCTGCTTTATTCGACACGATACGCATCTCCGGCTATTAAGCGCGGCCGCTTTATTTCGCGCAATTTCACTAATAATCTCCTTTTACGGATGCCGCCTTAAAGTAACGAGGAGGGGAAGGGGGGGGTAGAGTCCAGGAAACTTGGCGCACCGTCGGAAAGACCTGTTAGACAAGCGCCGATGCGCCGAGAGACGATCGCGTCGCGCTGCATCTCGGCGGTGCAAACATGCAGCGAGAGTCTCGAGTCGCGTTGCAGCGGAAATGCTTTACCGTCTAACGCGCCGAAGGCGGTGGGCGAAATTTATACGTTACGCAACGTCATCGTTTACCTTGGCGGAAGAGCGTAGGTGGAGCGGCACTAAAGTTAGCTCGCACCCGCCGCTAGTCAAGTTTCCCACGGAATTAAATGGCACGAGAGAGAGAGAGAGGGAGGGAGGGAGGGAGGGAGAGAGGACGGTAAATCGTTTGCGATCGTTCGTCACCGAAACACGTTCCTGTTCGTTGTTATTCCGCGATAACGTATCTTCGCGTCGCCGTAGATTCTCGTGTAGTCGGCGAATCGGCAAAAAGTAGATCGTTATTCCGAAATGCCGATACCGAGTGAGCTTTGCGGATCCGTACTCGGTTGAAATTTGCAATGCGGTTTGAAGGGAAGCGCGCTTGCCGGAAAATAACGCCGTAACGCGTTTAAAACGTACGTTTACCGTGTAAAATCGTACGGAGCGGAGCGACTGCTAACCCTTAGTAAGTAAGAACCAGCTGGAATTAAGCTTCATCACGAAAATTCCGGCACGTATTTTGCCCGGTATGAAGGACCATGGGGGCGGAATTTTCGGGTAGACGTTTGTAAACGGCTTTAAACGACGTAAAGGCGCGAGCGCGCGAGCGGGGCTGAGCTCCGCTTGATGAACGAGCTTAACTCATTTAACATCGCTTACTGCTGGACTGACGGTCAAACTGAGATACCGTAAGGCTTTCTGGGACACGTGCGAGCGAGTTCTATGAAGCCTCATGCGGGCGTGTGTGTGCACGATTCCGCCCCCCCCAAGCCGGGGCGAGCGCGCGCCAAATCCCGAATTCTGACCGTGTCTCAGCTGTACAAATTCTCCTCTTAATCACGACCCTCTTTAACCCTTTCAGTATCAAGTCTGCTTATTAAGGGATAAATTCACTCGGGGTTTCTTTACGGCTTGTTCTACGACTATTTAATCGTAAATGAAACTAATTGAAATTGCAGCTTGCAAGTATCTGCGAGCTGGAGCGTGCTTCACTTCAGAAATATGTCTGTGTATTGCAAGTAAAATATTGCTATAATATGTTCATCGCGGTGGACGCTGGCAGCGTAGTAATATCAGAGCAGTAGTTATTTTGGAATTTCGAGGACTCTTTGCACCGCAAATTCGGATTCAGGTCGCGATGTTTGCGCACGCGGCCGCGGACGAACGTTCCGGACGCTTTTTGAAACTTGCCGTGAGGGCCCTCCGCCTCGCAAAATCGAATTTAAGTCGCGACGGTCGCGCTTGCTGTGTCCGCTGAATTATATTAAAAATCGGACGATTTACGGTTTCCTCGAAGACGATGGCCGCGAGTAGTCGCGACTCGCGCGAGGTAACAAATAGCCGGATCGCGATGGCGGTGGTTTTCGCCCTCGGCCGATGTAATATCGCTCGTTTATCACGCGTATTAAGGCCAGCGGCGAGTGCCGGTACGCAGCCGCGCGCGGGTCGGTGACAGACGCGAAATTTATCGCGCCTGTACATTCTTATGCGGGCCCTCGCTTTTTAGACAATGGCGACCGTCTAGCTGCCGCTCGCAATGCCTCGCCTGCTTCTATCAACGCGCCTCGTGCATTTCTGAAATATAGAGTCTACATTTTTATTCTAATTTCTCGAGGGCGATGCGTAATTTTTCATACGCGCCTTCACGTCCGTAATTCAACGCCGCTTTATAATTAATTCTATGGATGCATAATTATTCCGTGAGACATTCCCGGCTGCGCGCGACCCGAGTTTTCATCGACGGGGGGTTCGGCTTGCGAAAGGACGCTGGCGTCAGGAAGAGGAAGGAGGCTCGATCTCTTACACGGGAGATTATTGGTACGGCGGGATTAATCGCCTCGGCCGGGTCACGTATAATTAAATTAAACTTCTCAAGAATTTCACTTAGCGGCGGCAGACAGGACGCCGATGTGTTACCGATCCCGGCAATGAGCGTGCAACGAACTTGGCGCGTACATCAGGTGAGCCACGTGTCCCGGCATAAAATCGCGCGCGCGGCTCCTCTCTCGCGCCTCCCGCCTCTCGCCTCCGCCGCCTCCGCCGCCTGTTCCCGGACGGGAATATTAATGGACTCGAGATGAAATACCGTGGATGTCGGACGTCCACCGCGCGCCGGTAATAAAGAGCGAATACAGACGATCGTTAAATTGCAATCATCGGTGGAACGTTACCTGTCTCGTTGAAGGCGTTATTCTTTCGCGGCATTAAATGCCCCGAGGCTCTTTCTTCACGCGCGACAGACGGGCTTGTGTTCGTCGCGCTGCGCGTGTGCCGCGCGCGTTCCGGCGTGACGCACGGCGGAATAAAATTGCCCGCAATAATCCGGCTTTGCGATATAAAAGCGTTCGTTTCAACAGCGGGACGATATTTCAGCGAATGTCCGAAGAGCGCCCAGCGGACGCATTGTAATCGCTGAATTTTTCATAATGACGTCGTTATGGCGGCAAATTAGCTCGCACGAGAATCTTTCAATGTAAAATATCGAAAATTGCGTGCGACCCGCTAATTCCGCGACTAATGGAAACGTATTTTCACACATAATATCGCCAGCGCGCGCCGACGAGTAATTAAATGGCCGGCGTAGACAGATTTTTGTGGCATTATTTCGCACATCTCTCCGCTGTGTCAATATTATGCTTCAACTCGTCGCGCGAATACCCGGAATTTCGCCCGGATTCGTTAGTGCCGTTTCGTTTTTCTTTTTTTCCTTTTTTTTTTTGCGAATCTCGTCCTTTCAACTGCGCCTCTTAAAAAACTTTCATATCAATTCCCGGAGATAAGTGGAACGGCAATCAGTTAGACTCGTCTTAACTTCCGAGCAATTTGTTCGTTATGTTCGTGGATCAAGGCGGCGGGGAGGAAATGTCGAAGCGGCCCTGGACGTAATTTAACTTTGGCACTGGACGGACTTCCGCGATATGCACGCTCCCGGAGCGCGGAGTGCCACCTGCGACAGGTTCGGCGGATTGCTACTTCCAACCGAGCGAAGTGCAATGCCGCCGCTACTCCGCGGCCTCTTACGAAACGGTTGACTTGCTCGGATTTCCCCGCTCGTCTGGCCCCGAGTGGCCAACTTTGAAATATTTGCCCGAGTATATGTGAAATTAACCAATCTCGCGCGAATCGCGCATCTTGTTACAGCAAATTATGTGAGAGAATTTTTTTTCATGTGGATCACCTGCGCTTCTTGTAAAAGCTAATGTTTCGAACTTCTCGAAACCACATCCTTGATAATGCAAGACTAAAATTTCTTCAATTATATGTATTTCAGATATTTGTAGAAAATGGATTTCTTAAATAATGTTGAGTCGTATTTGCGCACTGAAAAATTAGATTAATAATTTGAATGTAGATGTATCTCGGACTTTGTGTACGTGGCTTCTTTTACTTTATATATATTTTTCTCTATAATGAGAATATTTTTCTTATTTTTCGAAGTAGCATATCTCAGCTTTTGCTGAGATTTTTCAAAAAAAACTTCTCGCTTTAAAATTTTGTTGTTTCATTGCTTGTATTCTTCTCTCTCTCTCTCTCTCTTACTCTCTTCTCCTCTCTGTCTTTCTCTCTAACTACTCTCTAGAGTCACAAACTTGCGAGATAACAACATTCGTAACAGCGCATGGATCGGCACGTTCTCGAGACTTTGTGAAAAGTTTGAGCTGCTGTACTCACTTTTTAAAAGACGCCATTACGACTCTTTTTTTCTTGTGCGTATAATTCAAACTGTTCGCTCTGCAAAAAACAGTCTTTATGATTTGAGCAAAATA